ATGGCGATAAACATTCTACTAGATTAACCTTATTTGCCCCCTCCCACTTCCCTACTAATAAGCAGATGCACCTTCCCTCTTCCACTCAAGTACCGATGTAGCGGCACTATTTACCTATTGGCTGGGCTGTAGTGGCGCCAGTATGAAGAGGTTCGGGAGCTGTTAACATCTGTTGCGCTCTCTCTAGTTGTATGGGAAGCTCACCCAGTAAAATACATTTTAATTTCCACCAGAATTTGTGCACTGGCGCTTTATAGAAGATATAGAGTTTAATTTTACATTTTACCAGGAAAGAGATAGGAATATATATGTATGTATACATACATATATATATACACACATATATATGTATATAATATGTGTATTTGTATGTATGTGTGTACATGTGTATGTATATATACATATATACATATACATATACATATACATACATATCACACACACACACATTCATATATGCACACATATATACGTATACATCATATATCTATATATCTATGTATATGTAAATATATACACACACACATAATTTGTGTGTGTTTATACATGCATAAATATATTCACACGTATACACACACACAAATTATGTGTGTGTGTGTACGTGTAAAGATATTTATGCATGTATAAACACAAAGACATATATATACATATATATATATATATATATATATATATATATATATATATATATATATATATATATATATATATATATATATGTATATATGTATATATATACATATATACATTATATATATATATATATATATATATATATATATATATATATATATATATTGTATATATGTATATATATATATATATATATATATATATATAATATATATATATATATATATATATATACATATATACATATATACATATATACATATATACACATATGTATATGTATATGTATATGTCTATGTCTATGCATACGCATATGTATATGTATATGTATATGCATATACATATGCATATGCATACTACACACACACAAAGTGTGCGCGTGCTTTTGCAAAGTGTTCAGTCAACGTTAAAACTACTACTACATACACCTCACCTCGTATCTCTCAAGAACATATACATGAATAAATAAAACCTCATGAAACATCAGCGCTAAACCATAACAACAAAGTATGTGCGACTAAACAAACAAAGGATTGCCTGCTCATCGTGTTCGTTATAACCAACCCCCCTCCCCCTCCCCACGAGACTGGGGCATGGGACCACTCAAGGTCAGAAGCATTAGCGCACATCGACGGTAATTCCAACCTCATGACATCTAGCCTTCAGCTGATTAGTCGCAAATAAACAGATACTAGAAAGGTTTAACTTTTTTTGATTTTGTTCAATTTTGCTTTATCTGATTGGCAGAAATATTTTATTTCTCGTTGCTCATTTACAAAATCTACGGTCAACTCCCGCCAACTATAACATTATAACGGGCCAGAGAGAGAAGATTACGTAATTGGAAGGGATCTTGTGCATGGGAATGTCAGAAGCAAGCTTGCAACAGATCAGTGACCCCTTTGCAATAGTAACGAGATACGCTGTTGATAATAGCCAATCTGTAAAAACAAACAGGCTTAAAATTTCTATTCCTTCTTTACCTTCAGCACCATTTTAAATCACGTATTTATGACGATTACACAGTAACGAGTGTTGATAAATTCTCCATGGACATGGCGAGAGTGGTCACTGATTACTACAACATCTAGGTCTGTCCAAAGAAAACCAACAACTCACAACGCTCAAAACAACCTAAGTGGGTCGGTGACCCTACACTATTGAGGGAACAAAAGCGTGTTCAGGAGCTTTTTGATAACAACCTTATTCATTTTCCTAAAGCTAACAAAAAAATTACAGGAATAAAAACTCATATCAGAATAAAATTAATCGACTCTCACGTAAGCCAATTAACATCCCGCAGTTCATTGTTCTCTTGCACAAGCAGATATGATATGGACATTAGCGTCCAAATTGATCTCACTTCCCACAAATATTCAGAATCACCTTAGTCAATAAAAAAATGCACGTAAATTTGCCATTGAGATTGGATGTTCTGATACCGACCTTTCAGACTTTGATGAGATTACTAAGTGGGAACTGAATAATGCACTAATCAAAGGAAAAGCGTCCGCCCCAGGCGAGGATGGAATTACCTAGTGTTCTCCGCTTTATAGCTCAGGTACCTGGTAATCCAAAGTTTGTTACAAGGTATTCTGCCCGGCCCCTGGACGCGCAGTCTAATCATGCCTATACCGAAACCAAACACTGATAAATGCCGCCCAATTTCACTAACCTCATGAGTATGCAAAGTTCTAGAAATTATAATTTTGAACAGACTCAGGTACAAGTTACATGGTAAATTAATTACAAGGTAATAGTGCCTAAGCAGTACCCCGCGACGGGATGGCAATTGGACAGATGAGGGGTTGTGATAATTTTTAGCAATGGATATACTAGAGGACATAATCTTGTTATATCCTATCGTTGTACTACCATACTATGGCTATACATCAAATCTCGTCCGTAGAGTTAGTTTATGTGGTAATCAAAGGAGTGAATCAATCAGATACCAGACACGAGCAGGTGAAAGGAATTTTGTGACAGCGCGGAAATAAATTTAGGTTAAATTTTGCATTGGAGAAGACAGGCAGTCACTTATGCACTGCATCTCAGAGCTATGTAACTATTTCATCTCAGCAAAGATATGCTCATGTCATATACTAAATTCGGGCTATAATATGGCGTTCTGGCTGTGCATCAAATAAAATAAAGCTTGTCCGGGTGGCGGGTAGGTCGATGAATTGCAACAATCAAGGAGTAAGACAATCATTTTCGCTACAATGCATTAGCACATATAATCCTGTTATACCATATATGCAACATTAGGCCTGGCTAGACATTAAATATGTCAAACTTGCCTCTACGCCTGAGCAATTAACTAGAGACGTCAATAATGGACTTGGTTATCTAAAAATCAGATTTATTATATACTCGGTTTTATTATCAATATAGCCTTATGAACGAGCTGAACTGTACGGATATCGTGTACCGTACCCTGTAGAAGAACGGCCTTAAGTTTCTATATCTTCAAAAATACATTTGTATTATCATCCCGGACTAGCTACTTCTATCTATATATATGTATATGTAAGTGCGTGTATGTGTGTGTGAGTGAGTGAGTGAGTGAGTGAGTGAGTGAGTGAGTGTGTGTGTCTATCTGCAGGATGAAATGCAGAATAAAAGGAATCAAAAATAAAAACAAATTTAATCAATGCATTTGAAGAACAAAAAAATCACATCTCTTGTGCAGTGCTTCAGTGCTGATAGTGGGTATTTGAACAGTAGCCTCTAAATGAGTTATATCACATATCTATTATATAAAAATAACGACTCTTGAATTCTTGATAGGACTGTTGTCCTTGAACGTGGCGCTACTGACATATCTCAAAAAATGGGGGGAGCGAGCGAACGGACAAGCGAAAGAGAAGGGGGGGATAGTGAGAGTGAATGCGAGAAATAGAAAGAGAGGGGGGGGGAGAGGCAGAGAGGGAGGGAGGGATAAAAGGAGGAAGGGAGGGAGAGAGAGAAACTGAGAGAGAGGGAAGGAGGGAGGGAGAGGGAGAAGGAGAGAGAGCGAAGGGGGAGGGAGGGAGGGGAGGGAGGGAGAGAGGGGGAGAGAGGGAGAAAGAGAGAGAGGGGGAGGGAAGGGAGGGAGAGACAAAGATAGACGGCGGGAGGGAGGGAGAGAATGAGAGAGAGATAGCAAGAGATAGATAGATAGATAGATAGAGGGGGTGGGGGAGCGAGAGAGGGAGAGAGGGAGGGGGAAGGGAGGGAGGGAGACAAAGATAGACGGCGGGAGGGAGGGAGAGAAAGATAGACGGCGGGAGGGAGGGAGAGAAAAAGAGAAAGAGAGAGAGATAGCGGGAGAGGTGGAGGAAGGAGGGAGGGAGGGATGGAAGGAGTAAGAGAGAGATAGAGAGAGACTGGGAGGGAAGGAATGTGAGAGAAAGAGTAGAGAGAAAGCGAGAGAGAGAGAGAGAGAGAGAGAGAGAGAGAGAGAGAGAGAGAGAGAGAGAGAGAGAGAGAGAGAGAGAGAGAGGGAGAGAGAGAGGAAGCTGAGAGAGTGGGAATGGAGAGAGAAAGCAAAGGAAGAGCGAAGAGAGAAGTGAGAAGAGAGTAAACGAGAGAACAGAAAAGAGCGAAAACTATCCAGATCACTCAACACGAAAAGGAGAGAAGGGAAGAAGAAGTAGAAGAAGAAGAAGAAGATAGAGACCCACCGAGCACCCCCACTGGGCGAATGGACTTCTCCCATTCATGCGAAGATCTCCATCCTGCCACTGCCACTGGGAGGGAGGGAGGGGGAGGGAGGGAGGGAGGGAGAGAAAGAAGGGGGGAGGGAGGGAGGGAGGGAGAGAAAGAAGGGGGGGAGGGAGGGAGAGAAAGAAGGGGGGGAGGGCGGGAGAGTAAGAAGGGGGAAGGGAGGGAGGGAGAGTGGGAGAGAGAGTGAGTGAGAGAGTGAGAGAGAGAGTGAGAGAGAGAGTGAGAGAGAGAGAGAGAGAGAGAGAGAGAGAGAGAGAGAGAGAGAGAGAGAGAGAGAGAGAGAGAGAGAGAGAGAGAGAGAGTGAGAGAGAGTGAGAGAAAGTGTGAGAGAGAGAGAGAGAGAGAGAGAGAGAGAGAGAGAGAGAGAGAGAGAGAGAGAGAGAGAGAGAGAGAGAGAGAGAGAGAGACTGAGTGTGAGTGACAGAGAATTTAAGTCCTGTCGCGGGAGGAAAGTGCGCTAAACTATGCAAATGAAAATGGACCGTAAGTCCGTTCCGAAAACCAAATAAGGATTAATATAGTTGACCCCAAAGGCTAACGACCGGCAAATGCGTTTCCAGCACGACATAGCACAGCTGGCCGACAGAAAAATAAGAAAAAAAAAACTTTCCCACGACACAAATGCGACGATTATCTATAAAGCCGACCGCTATTATCATCTATGATGTCCGAGCTCCATCGAATCTGGTGCAATCTATGAATGGAAAACCCATGCTATTAATACAGATAAAAATCTCTAAAAATCATAATACTATAAATTTTAACGATCACACAAATAACAGTTTCTAAAAATAACATCAAACACTGGATGGTTACCATAAATACACATACGTTTTAAAAAACCTAAGCACCACATGAAGCACCACTCATACCAAAGGATTATGTAACGCCAAGACCTATCACTCGATACGCGTACACAAAGCAGCTCGAGGGTTTAAAGAGGTGAGTGCGGTAATCTACTTTATCGGAGCACCTGGTTGAACAGCTAATTAGGGTAAGAGCGGGGGGGGGGGGGGGGATAAGGGGGGGAGAGAGGGGGGGTAAGGGGGGGGGAGAGGGGAGGTGGGATAAGGGGGTGGGGAGAGAGGGGAGGTGGGATAAGGGGGTGGGGGAGAGGGGGATAAGGGGGTGGGGAGAGAGGGTTGGGTGGGATAAGGGGGTGGGGGAGAGGGGGATAAGGGGGTGGGGAGAGAGGGTTGGGTGGGATAAGGGGGTGGGGGAGAGGGGGGGTGGGATAAGGGGGGTGGGGAGAGAGGGGAGGGGAGAGAGGGGAGGTGGGATAAGGGGGTGGGGGAGAGGGGGGATAAGGGGGTGGGGAGAGAGGGGAGGTGGGATAAGGGGGTGGGGGAGAGGGGAGGTGGGATAAGGGGGTGGGAAGAGGGGGGGTAAGGGGGTGGGGAGAGAGGGGAGGTGGGTAGGTAAGAAGGTAGGGGGGGGGGAGAGGCGGAGGTGGGTTTGGGGGGGGGTGGCAAAGGCGGGAGGTGCGATAAGGGGAAACTGTGAGGGAGGAGCGAAGGGAGGTAGGTGGGGCCATGCGGTGGGGATGGGGGATAGAGATGGAATGAAGGAAAATGAGGATGAGAAAGGGTAGAAATGATAACGGATGGGAGGGGATGGGGGGGGGGGGAAAGTTGCGGAGACGAGATGAGGGGCGGGAGGGGACTGATAAGTGGGGAGACAAGGAGAGGGGGAGATGGAAGTAGGGACACGGGTGAACGAGCAGGAGGAGGTAAGGATAAGGGGAGACGGTTGAAGGGGAGGGGGGGGCAGGAGAGAGATGGATTACAGACACATCAAGAGCGTAGCTTACTAGCCTATGGACTGTTAATGTCTTATTTTCTTCCCCTGGAACGTTATTTTCCTATTATTACCTCTAGGTTACCTCCTGCAGTGCAAGATTGTTCTACTTGAAACAGAGCATACATACAAAAAAACATTAATAACCACTATACTGAGAAGAGCTCTCTTTGTATCGATAAGAGGGTCTAAAACAAGTCACTTCGTGGAAAATATTCACTTTAGGCTAAGCTCGATGTACGATACTATATGGAGCAATTTATCAAAAGAAAATTAAGGAATGCATAAAAGTAATATCAGCCAAGTAAAGAGAGAGAGAGAAATACACACACACACTCATGACAGGAAATCCCGTTATACACAAAATAGGTGTATTGTGTAGTGTTTTTTGCTATTGTATATCAACACGGATGTGCATGTTTTCTTGTTCATGAATAACAATTAAATAGGCAACAACAGACGTGAGGGAACAACCACCGACGGGAACAATAATAAGCTATCTGTTAGCAACACACGTCACAAATGACGTCACAAACATTGCATCGGTACATCAGTTAGCCAAGACATCACCGGGCGAGACACGACCCGAAATATCATACGACCGGTAAGGAACCAAGGTTACGTCTACCTGAGAATGCGTAAAGAAGCGAATGAGGAAGAATGGGAAGTCAGAAATGCAAGGGACGAGCCCTTAACATAGGATTAGAAGTGCTAACTCTCTCTCTCTCTCTCTCTCTCTCTCTCTCTCTCTCTCTCTCTCTCTCTCTCTCTCTCTCTCTCTCTCTCTCTCTCTCTCTCTCTCTCTCTCTCTCTCTCTCTCTCTCTCTCTCTCTCTCTCTCTCTCTCTCTCTCTCTCTCTCTCTCTCTCTCTCTCTCTCTCTCTCTCTCTCTCTCTCTCTCTCTCTCTCTCTCTCTCTCTCTCTCTCTCTCTCTCTCTCTCTCTCTCTCTCTCTCTCTCTCTCTCTCTCTCTCTCTCTCTCTCTCTCTCTCTCTCTCTCTCTCTCTCTCTCTCTCTCTCTCTCTCTCTCTCTCTCTCTCTCTCTCTCTCTCTCTCTCTCTCTCTCTCTCTCTCTCTCTCTCTCTCTCTCTCTCTCTCTCTCTCTCTCTCTCTCTCTCTCTCTCTCTCTCTCTCTCTCTCTCTCTCTCTCTCTCTCTCTCTCTCTCTCTCTCTCTCTCTCTCTCTCTCTCTCTCTCTCTCTCTCTCTCTCTCTCTCTCTCTCTCTCTCTCTCTCTCTCTCTCTCTCTCTCTCTCTCTCTCTCTCTCTCTCTCTCTCTCTCTCTCTCTCTCTCTCTCTCTCTCTCTCTCTCTCTCTCTCTCTCTCTCTCTCTCTCTCTCTCTCTCTCTCTCTCTCTCTCTCTCTCTCTCTCTCTCTCTCTCTCTCTCTCTCTCTCTCTCTCTCTCTCTCTCTCTCTCTCTCTCTCTCTCTCTCTCTCTCTCTCTCTCTCTCTCTCTCTCTCTCTCTCTCTCTCTCTCTCTCTCTC